CTGGTGGTCAGTTTCAGCAGCGGCTGAATCTGGACGCCAGTTCCGACTTACATACAGATTCAACTTAAGAACAAACCTACAGTCCCTATCTTGTACGTAACCCGGGGACTGCCTGTAGGGAGTGTCTACACAGAACTTAGTTCAAAATAGAGCATTCTTCCTGCGACTTACCTTACTCCTTGTACAATAAGCAGTCCTCCAGCTTGACAGTATTTTGACACTATAGCGAAATAACTTTCTGCTGTGTAGACACAGACTAAGTTACTTTGGAATAGTGCTAGTTATTTCAAATAGTGTTGCAATGTAGACGTACCCTTAGGCCAGTGGTCAACAACCAGTAGATCTTGGAGCTGCTGACAGGGGATCTTGACTGGTTTGGCCAAGAGGCTACCGAGTGCCAGCACTTCAGCTGCCCCTCCCTGCACTGCCTGCATCTAGAACCCCCTCCTACATCCCAACTGTCTGCCCCAAGGTCAGGTCAGAGCCCCTCTCACACTCCAAATCCCTTAATCCAAGACCAGAGCTAGCACCCCAACTCACTGCCCCTGCCTGGTGAAAGGGAGGGAGGATGGGGGAGGAAGGGAGATTGGAGTGAGCAGGGGAGGGGTCTTGGAGAAGGGTCACAAAGGAGGCGGGGCAAAGTTATTTGGGTTTGAGGTAGACCTTGGATTGCACTTAAATTAAAAAAGTGATCTCATGCTTCAAAAGGTTGAAGACCACTGCCTTAGGCTATATCTACACTACGCATTTTCTTGGCAAAAAATATGCGAATGACAGACTCATTTGCATGAGTTGCGATCTCATTTGCATATTTTCTGCTGGTCCGTTTTTGCACAAAAACGAGCCGTGTGGACGTATTCTTTTTGCGCAAAAAAACCTTTTTTCCTCAAGATCCTAGGTATACTGATCTTGAGGGAAAAGGGTTTTTTGTGCAAAAAGAAAACATCCACATGACTTGTTTTTGTGCAAAAACAGATCGGTAGAAAATATGAAATGAGATCGCAACTCATGGAAATGAGTCTCTCATTAGTATATTTTTTGGCAAGAAAACTTGTAGTGTAGATGTAGCCTTAGAGTATGTCTACACTACAATTAAAAAGCTTGTGACATAAGTCTTGGAGCCTGTATCCGCTGACTTGGGCTTGGGCTGTGGGGCCACTTTGGAAGCCCTGGGGGCCGCTATGACACTCACAGCACATGCCAAGTGCCGCAACTTGTGTGGTTACACATATATGCAAATAGCGTCTTTCACGCTGACGGGCATGAACACAAAGATTAAGGCAAAACTACACAACATGTAGGCCCCATTTAGGGTTGCCAGATGGTTGAAACAAAAATACCGAAAAAAGGGGGAAAAAAGGGAGGGGAGAGACCAAAGTTGTTGGGGGGGGGGGGGGGGGGGGGAAGACTCCAAGGACTTAGTAAGCCAAAAAATTTTTTTTTAAATAAAACAGCATTAAAAGAGCATGTCCTCTCTAAGTTCAGGGATAGGAACAGGGGATCAGTTGAGTACTAAGACCCAGGGGAAGCTTCCCCTAGGTCTTTTGGACAGCCACCATTTTTGTGCCAGCAGCCTTGCAAAGCAGGTAAGCATAGAGGCTGGGGCCAGAGGAGGTTTTGGGGAGGGGGGAGGACGAACCAGGCACTGAATGTGTGTAGGGTTGCCAGGTGCCCGGCATTTTTGCCTCCTGGCAGGGGAAAAATTCAGAAAATACTGAACATCTCAGGTGTCCAGTATTCTCTGAATTTTTTTACCAAGCAGAAGCCAAAAATACCAGACTGTCTGGGTGAATACCGGACACCTGGCAACTCTAGCCCCATTTAAGTCAGTTCTGCTGATATAATAAAAGGCAATATTTACTCGATTTCCACCCATATGGGAGCACTTTTAATGAGCAATGACAGTCCAGGAATGTAACCACTAAATATCAACAGAAGACCATTATATTGATTTGCCGTTGTGGAGCGTGTTCCCAGTGGAGACCATGTTCAAAGGATCCCAGCCGTGTTGTGGCCCGTGTAAATCCAAACCGCACTGCAGGTCGCAAATAGGTTGTGGGCCACGTTGAGTAGCCCTGCCCTAGAGGGAGAATCTGAGCATGGGCGCCAGCCCCAGCGTGGCCAGCCCACCCACACCTAACTATGGATCTACTGCAGTTTAGCTGTACTTTTGGGTCATAGTCACGCCCATTTCACATACTCTGGGACTTCATACGCCAGAGTGAGTGAGTCTGTGGTGCAAGGGAAGGACACCAGTAAAGAGAGTGCTCTCAGCATTGTCTTGAAAGGGGTAAGAATTTTATTCCTGCTGTGAGAACTCCTCTGATGCTTCTGTTCTATTGGACAGTAGCTGTGCCGCTGAGCTACTCAAGGTGATCTGATAGGTTCCAGTAAACTCTTAGTGGGGAGCCCTGAACTGACCTTCCTGCATCAAATTCATACCTGGTGCTGCTCCATTGGTTTCACTGGAGTTCCAGCCACTTGGACGAAATTAGAATGTGATCCTGCTGGATGCTGATTGATTGATTGTTTGCTTCATGACAGATAATTATCAAGTTTGTAGGACTTTCAAATTAACTTGGATTTGAAGCTACAAAGAACAGAGCTTTGAATATAGCACATTTTGGTCCAGTCTTTCTTTGTTTAAAAAAAAAAAAAAAAACTCACGGCACAGAATTTTTTTTTTTAAAATAGCTTTGACATGGAAAATCCCAGGACCCCCCCGGGCCGTTTTTAATAAGGACTTCTTTCCATTTATGTGGCTTCTTGTCTGTATTTTAGGTAATCACTACTGCAACTGGTCGGTGTTCTATCAGAATCGTTGTATTCTTTTACACTGTCGCCATCTACATGGGTGTCAGAATGCCAACACTCAGGATGTTAAAGATCTCCTTGAAGGTAATTTGATGCTGTAGGGCTCCTGGTAATATCAGACAGATCAGTCATACTAAATACCCTACACTCAGTGCTGTGCTTTGCACCTCTGGCTGAGAAGCAAGAGCATGGGATATGTTTGTAATTCAAAATCCATCCGTTGGATATTTTGTCCCATTGTCTGTTCTGGTGATGTAATAAAAATTACACCTTGTTCTTTCATTAAAACAATTGAGATTCTTTTTTTTTAAGCCAGTCCCTGTTCAAGGGCTCACTAGCCACCCCTGTCACACTCCACACTCTGCCCTTTGGGAGATGCATCCAGAAGGACTTTATTAATGCAAAATCCCTGAAAGGATGCCACCTTGGGATTGGATTTCCTTTGACTGCCAGCCTATCCTGCCAGAAATGGCAGGCTTCCTGGCTAATCAAAAAGGCATTAGCAGCAATTTCTAGCTATGGTTTTATAACAGCAGGGCTTCAGTTTTAATTGACACCATAACAGAATGAAGCTTGTTGACAATTGGAGAACCAATTTTGAAACATCTATTTAAAAATTCCTCTCTGTACCAGTTTTTTTTTTTTAAACAAAAACTCCCTCAAGCTCATTCATGGTTCATTTTGTGTTGTCAGAGGCTGCTTGAGGATTTAATGGCTTAACTCTAATTCTTATGAGATTTATGCCTTTAAAAGCCTGATCATCCACTGAGGCAGCTTACCTATTTAAGGGAAAACTTTTTTCAAAGTTTTTAAGAGATAAAATTATGAACCTAAACAAAAGCCTTCAATGTGGCCTTTTAACATATCAGAGGATGAGCCTTTGGTTTCTGATTTCTGAGAGTCAGTGCGAAGGCTACTGCTTCTCTGCTTTTGAGAACCAGTTTGAGATGTGAAGTGTTACCCTTCCTTTAAGCACTTCAGAGGATTCCAGTCATGGAGAGACAAATGACAGAGGTCCCTGTCATAAAGGATAGATAATCCAGGAAAGGGTTCAGCTTCTGAGAGGGCTTTATGCAAACAATAGTAGATATGCTAGGTTTGATTGTGCTCTGTTTACCTTGGAGCATATAGGGCATAACTCCATTGAAGTCATAGTCATGTCTTTGGCTTTGAGAGGTTTTCCTGACTTACCTCTGTGCAAATGAGATCAGAATTAGGCCCACTGGTTTTTGAACTTCTTTGGTTTTTGTTTTTAAAGAACTTGTCTTTAAGAAAAGAGAAGTGCGGGCACTTGATCAAAACAACACGCAAGAAAGTTCTCAAACAAGCCAAGAGAATCAGACAGCACAAGCAACAGCGCCACCTTTATCATCCACTCAAGTGAGGACTGGAATAACAGGTACCAGAACGACCCTGCCAGCAGTGATTACAACTCCTGCCCCAACCACTGCTACTGCCGCCACCACCCAAACCACGAGGGAAATCACAGGCAAGATCAGTACAACTACTCCAACAGCCACAGCTAATGAAACAGTGGTCACACACACCCAGATCTCAGCAAATTCCACTATCCCTGCCAGTACCACGGCTCCCACTAACTCTTCTCTCATGGCAAACGATACTTCTAGCTCCACAGCCCGCTTTGAAAAGACAAGTTATATGGTGTTCGCTTCAGGAACAAGGACACCAGCACCCTTGTCTCGAGCTACTGTTGCCAGTTCTGAATCAACAGTGAGCCGTGCAATGCCCCACACCACAGAGCAACCAAATACAACCATTGCCACACACAGCACTCCCACCCCTAGCAAAGCTTCTACTGTTGGGCTTAGCCCAGCGCCATCTGTCACTGCAACCAACAGCCTCCAGAACTTGAAAACAGATGTCCTAGATTCTGCAGTCACCAGTTCACCTCCAAAGAGTGCCAGTCCCGCAGTGCCAGCAATCAAAGCTACTTCATCAACTCCTGAGCCCCTGACAACGTCAGTGGAGGGGCCCAAGAATATCACGGATAAGCCATCTCCTACTCTACTAGTCCAAACAAAGAGTGCCAAGACTTCAGCAACTAGCCAGCCAACAACAAAGGCCACCATTGGGCCTTGGGTGATAACTTATAGTACTTTCTTGACTAAACTTACCACCATGGGTCCAACAAGTGCACCCAAAACAACAGCCTTGGAGTTTGGGAGAGATCAGCAGAACACCGACTATGACAACCTGTTGGTTGCCACTAACCCTCTGACTCGGTACTTGGTGGACACCAGTTCACTCCTGGCAGTGCTTCTATTTGGTATTGTATTTTTCATAACCGTTTTAGTTCTGTTTGCCATGCAGGCCTATGAAAGCTACAAGAAAAAGGACTATACGCAAGTGGACTACTTAATCAATGGAATGTATGCGGACTCAGAAATGTGACCGGGAGGCCAAGAGTGCTGAGAGAGAGGCTTACACATGCATAAAGGAGATGGAAAGCTGCTCATTCCTGTTTGCGTCTAAGACAAACTGAAAGTGCTTCCAAACGACTTCTGGTGCAAATTAGGAGAAATGCCATGTTCTATATAATTTTTATTTTTATCGACTATAAGAGGTTGCCATAGAAATGTTTCTCGAACTCTTCCAACCCTGCTTCAACCAATTATTTTTGCATTGCAAAATGAAGCTATTGGGTGAGCCATTGCCCTTTGAGAATGGTATGTGCTTCCTAAGCTTTGTGTTTACATTTAAGTTCCTTGGGTTTTGTTAATGTCACATGCATTCGCCCACCTTCTATGAAGTGATTTTTGGGCTCCTAGGATGAGAATTGCTATAGAAATGCTAAGTATTACATCAGACTGGTGGGGAGCTTTTAATCAAATGAGCTTCATATTTCAAGAAGCTTCCTGCTTGTAGAGCGATCTGTTGACAAAAAGCTAACACTCTGCTTACTGCTGATTTTAAGATGGTTCTTCCAAAGGTGCAAATCATCATGTTTGTGCACTTATGATCTTATTTTTGTATTCACTCACTCAATAAAAGGAGACCTGGAGGCCATGCAGTGTTGTATTTATGTCCAAAAGACACCTTCCAGGCAAGCTTGTATTTCTTCACTGCTTATAGAATTGATGCAGCAGGACAAATTCCAAGCTCCAGGCTCAATCCCCTGCATAGCTTTGAATGCCTTCAAGCCCTATGATAACAGGGAGCACTTCACCAGGCCTGATCTTGCAGATGAGCTATACGTGCACAGTCCTGTTTACATGCACAGAGCATGTTGACTTCATTGCCAGACTGGAGTCCACACTTGCATTCAGTTCAGATTTGAGATGAAAACTTACAAGGATCTGATCTTTGCTGTATTTTCTATGTAAGTACCTTATCCTGCAGCCAGCCCATGGGATTGTGGCCTTTTGCCCACTAGCCAAAAAAAGCATGTACTTGCCACATAGTGTTAGCCACAAAAACAGTGGAAGATTAGAATACTGACAGTCACAAAAACTTGCTTTTTGCCACCTTCTCAAAGCTTCTTTCTGAGGTCCCCACATCAGGACCTTATGTTGAGAATAATAAATACATTTTAATGATCCTCCGTGAATATTCTGGGCTCACTAAAATAACTCCTTTGGCTGAAACATTAACTATAAAAAACTAAACCAATATTTGCCCTTTTTAGCAGCTTTGGCAGCTCACCTTTGACTAGAATAATTTTCTTTCCTGCGTGCTCTAGAGCCTAGCGACAGGCATACCTCAGAAGTTGTGGGTTTGGTATAGTTCACAGAACTAGAAAGAACCTCAAGAGGTCATCAAGTCCAGTCCCCTGCACTCATAGCAGGACCACCCATGATCTAGGCCACCCTGACAGGTGTTCGTCATTAGAGATGTCTAACAGCAGGTTAGACAGATTCCACAACCTCCTTAGGCAATTTATTCCTGTGCTTAACCACCCTGACACTTAGGAAGTTTTTCTTCATGTCCAAGTTGTTTATCCAAGTTTATTGACTCCACAATATTCGGATGGAACTTAGCTTGCACGAAAACTTGTGGGGAAACTAAACTTTTAAAAGGATTGTTTTTTTCAGTGCAGCATATCCAATACATGTGCTTTAATTTGAAATTAAAGCACATGCATTGGATGTGCTGCATGCCAACTGTAGAGAGTACATTTCACTGTATTTGGGTGGGGGGGGGATCTACCTACTGCCCGCTTAAGGTCAATGTAGGGCACAGAGCTCCACATGCACCCCACTTGCATGAGAGCAATCCCTATGCATATCAGGATTTCCATGAAGATAGATATGTTTCATTTCCTCAAATACCTGGAGTTCTTCAGTGTGGGGTTTTCAGAGTTTAACTCTGATAGCCATTCTTCAGTGTGGGCCAGAACTATAACCTCCCCTTTCCTTCCATCTCCAGGCACTGACCTAGAGCTCTTCTCACACCACATGATTTGTCGTAAGAATTCTGTTGGCAGGGTCCCCCTATCTGTTCTGTTACCATCCCATTGAGATGCATTGGGCAATTTATCCCACTCCAAGCTATTGCTTCAAACTGCCTGCAGCCATCACTGCATTAGTTATGCTTCAGTTGCATTTCAGTCTTCAACCATGAGGTCTAGACTTTGACTTAGAAAATGAAACCTTTGAGTCTGATGTAATCATGTGACTCCTGGAGGTAGGTCCCTCTGCCTCAGTCCAGCCCTGCCTGTAGTAGTGAATTTCATGCTGCAAGATTATAAGCCTCAGAGAGGTAGCCGTGTTAGTCTGTAACTTTAAAAACAAGTAGTCCTGTAGCACCTTAGACTAACAAATATAAATGTATGTGTGTCATGAGCTTGCTACAAAACTACTCCTTTTTGCTGCTGGATGTGCATCTACTTGGTTTCTTTGAAATAAGTGCTGCCCTTTAATGGCCTCAAATGACATTTGTTTCTGATATTAAGCAATAATTTTAAAAGTAAGAGCTGATCCATTTTCACTACTTTCTCCAGAAAATCAAATATGACTGCCTGATCTATTCTAATTCTGTTTATCACGAATATATTTACAACGTTTATTTCTGCAGCAAATGCAACTTTACATCAAATCATATCCTTTGGTCTTAGGATTAGCTTTGATGGCAGAAGACAAACATTGAACAGGCTACTCTCTGGGTGGCAGTACACCTTTCATGATATCAGGTTGCATTGATTCAGTATCCTTTTTGTATGAACACACACCAGTTCTGTACTGATTTTTTTTTTATGGGACCAGCCACAGACATTTTTAAATGGTGTATTTTAGGGAGGAAGGGAAGAAACCCATTTTCAAACTGGAAATGCAGGGAGATTAAGGTTAGTATGATATAAAACCTGAGCCATAATTTGACCAGGGCCCTCTTCTAACAGTTCAAAATGCTACTTTTGCATCACAGCTGAAAGAAACCACACCTTAAGCTTTGCTATTGACTCAGTGAAGTGTGTGCTAATCACAGGCACTGCACCATTTTAACAGCCCTATTTTCTCCTCATAGGTCTCCCATCCAACTTCTGACTTGGCCTGACCTTGTTTAATTTATTTAGAGTTGAGAAGACCACAACTGGAGCTGGGGTTACTGTCCTGAATTTTTCTTTTTACTCTATGGCGATGTGCTCCTCCATGTCTTGCTTTTATACATGTTGTTGCAACAAGCCAGAGATCTTTGTGAATCATGGCAAATAACTGTACAAAGAGCAGTGCTTACTTAATGCTGCTGAGTAGATGTGCCCTATTTCAGAATAACTGATGTTATTCCGAAATAACACAGTGTGTCTACAAGCCTTTATTTCAAAATAATGGTGAGCTGGAGGACTTCTTACTCCAACTCCTGCAACCCTCATTTCAGAAGGAGTAAGAGAAGTTGAATGAAGATCACTCTTCCTTTGACTTCTTGCTTCATAGGCAATACCAAATGCCAAGTTGAGCTATTTCAATTTCAGATACACAACTGACATAGCTCAGGTAGCATAGTTTAATTCAAGTTTTGCCCTGCTGTGTAGATGTACCCTTAGTGAACAGTTCTATACTGATGGTATGTCAATAGTTCAATATCAAGTTAGCTCAGTTTACAAGCAGCAAGATATGAAAACTCAGCCTGAAAGTCAAGCTGTGTTTCCTGAATCATCTGCTATCATCAATGGCAAAGGGTCTGTCATGCCAATCCAAAGCATGCTCCAGTGTGCACCCTTTTTAACTACATCTCTGCAAAGCACCTGGCTCACTTTTGAGCACCATGTACGTAATTTGAGCATACCCAAATGAGCCAGCAGGAAAATTTGCCTCTAAGGCCAGCGCCTAATATTTTTAAACAAACTTAATGAATTACTACAATGTGGATAACATTTTGCCTGATGGAGGAGCATAGAATAATCTGTCTTGTCTTCCTGTACAACCCCTATGAAGGCCTCAAAGAGGGTTTGAAGATAGACCAAGTGTGGACCTGTGATCCTGTACAGGGACCTATGTGAAAAGTGTTGCTGCACCAGACAGAAAAGAATCTCTCTCTCTCCTACAGTCATCTTGGTGCTATAGCGCCACTAGTTTGTGTAACCTCACTTCTGTCAGCTAAGTATTCAGCTCTGACTCTAGGCCTGCGAAGGAGATGTACTATGTGAGTGTTGGCTGTTCTTAGTGGTTTCCTCTGACAGATAACTACCAACCTGAGGTCAAAGTAGAACTCAGCGCACCGCAGGGGCAGAGGGAGAAAAACTGACTCTGCAACTTCTGTAGCCTAATTTGTCATCACTGAACTTCACCAACTTGCTGCCTGCCTCCCTCTTTGAATCATGACTCACTACATTTAATAACTCTGCCTTCCTCACCCCCAGTATTAATGGCTATCCACCCTGCCTTTCACCACAACTCTTTATGAACTTTCTTGTTCAGCTAGATTTTTCATCCATCGAAAGGATTGCTCTTCAAGTCCTTCCCTAAATATAATTATCCAAAGCCCAAATACATCCAGCCTGCCATGCTGCTGGACTTGTCTTGAATTGGATAAGAATCTCAGAAGAGGGTGTATGCTTGCTTTTTGGCTCCTAGAAGGTTGAGTTTGGTATCTATATATATTTGAGGATGAAGGATGGCCTGCTTGTGGTAAAGACTGGACCTGTTCCATGTGACCCTCGGCAAGTCACTTAATAGTTCTGTGTCTCAGTTCCCCAGCTGAAAGCATAGGATTGTAGTACGTCCCTTGTCTGTTCAGATTGTAAGCTCTCTGGACAGGAATTCTTGTCTTGATGTGTGAATGTGCAGCACCTCACACAACGGGGGACCTGACCTTGATTCTGTAATACAAATGCCAAATACCACTTGGTACTACTATAATATTAACAGTGCTCTATTTCACAATCTTAATACGACCGCTCCAAATATGTGAGTCATTGCTAACCTTTCTTCTTGCTCACCTCTGAATATACAATGTGTTTGCCCTTAGCCATGATGTGAGAGTGCTGGAATTTCTCTTACAGGAAGCAGAGCTTAGTCATTTCAAGTGACTGTTTCCTGTGCTGCCGCTTCCTATTGTTGTCTCCATCAAAACACTTTTTATAGACTTTTTTTTTACACTAGAAGGGATCAGTATGATGATCTAGTCTGACCTACTCTATAACCCAAGCACACACTCTCCTCCCTGCCTCCCCCCCAAAAAAATCCAGTAATTTCTGCATTGAGCCTGTAATGTCTCTTTCAGCTACAGCGGAGGGGCGGGGGAGAGTCAGATTCTGCCCCTGGTTTGCCTGCATTCGGCCCCCAAGCCTCAGGGCTTCACCCTGCCCCACACACCACCTCCCCTGGGGGCTGGAGCACACAAAATCTACTAGGCTCTGGTATGTAAGTGAAATGTGGGAAGTGTCTTTCTCCTCCTCTGTCAGTGGGGATTTGTTTTTGCTTCTCATTGTGTGTGGCCCCTAACTGATTTTTTTGTGGGTCAGCAGTGCCCAACCCAAACAAAGGTCCCTGCCCCTCAGCTATAGTCTCTCTTGAGCATCTAGACTTGATTTAAAGCAATGGCAAATTGACTGTGCCTCCCAGGGTAAGTTATTCCAGTGGTGAGCTAAAG